TGGTGATGAGGGATTATTTGTAGCTGGTGAACATTGATCAAGTGGAATGTCTCTGTTGGATTCAGGCTCACAAACGGGTCATGGTGGTGACAAAAAGGGAGATCTGAAGTAGATCAAGCAGAATGTCTCTGTTGAATTTTGGTCAAATGTGATATCAGTGAGATGGGGTTGGCTGTTCGAACAGAATGTCTGTGTTGGATTCTGGTTATCAATGAGATGATAATGTTTAAATGTGTTATCAACATGGCGGTGATGGCAACAGTGTGTCTACATGCTGACAGGTGGCCCTTCTTCTTGCAACTGTGTGGGGTGATTCACTGTGAGGCACAATGGTGATGACAAGGGAGGCCTGGAGCTGGGTGTTGACAACCTTGAGGTTATAACTCATGTTGTTTAGCATCGCGAGCTTGGTGACATCGAAGTTAGCCACATTCCACGTGTGAAGAGTTAGGTGAAACAATAAAAAGTGATTGCTGTTGGTTATAAATTTCTTAGGATTATATCTACTCTTCTTTTGCTTTATCAGCTTCACTGTAAAGTAAACTTCTGATTGATTTACCTTGACTAATCAAAGGCACTACAGTTACTGGTCTTAAGAATTACATTATTATTGATCAAATTACTCTGGTGAAGTTAGCAGTAGTTGTTATTTGTCATTTGTGGCAATGGCAGGAATCATTTGGCCCATTTTTACTGTGTCACATTTTTTGAAGGTTTGTTTCTCTGAAACAATCGCTGCAACTTTTTTCTCCCCCAGAACTACATAGAGCTCAGTGTAAGAAACTGTCTAGAACTACAGTTTTTGCTCTATAAATATGTGGGAAATCTATGCTATTTTTTTCCATCATCTATCATAGACAACTTTCCTCAGGGTCTGATTCCATACTTGACTGATAAACTTTCTCACATAAACAAAATATTCTCATGGATTTAGGTCAGCTGACCTAATTCATTCTACCCAATTTTCTGGTTAACCTCCAAGAAATAAGAGTGCCTTACTGATTAGTGTTTTAACTTAAAATTTGATTTTTAAGGTTTTTGCAGGTTATCTGGTAAGTTTCAACTTGTCATTTTCCTAGTTTACCCAAGTGGTTGCAAGAGGTGTTTGTGGTTTATCTATCTGGTTAACTGCCAGTATGTTTGGATTCAACCATTGGGGTCTACTTTCACTGGATCAATTTATCAGAACCAATTAACTCTCTTAATTAATTCACTCTTCTTAATTTGTTCCTACATACAAAAAATTTAATCAGTTTCTTTTCATCTTTCCCCTCCACTCTAAAGATAAATAGAGTATCTGTATTTTAAGCTATACATGATTGTTGTTGATCATTAGTGTGTCCCCAATGATGAGATGGATTCCCTACCTTCCTTGTCACAAAGGAAAGGAGCAGCTTTTTTCTGAATCTAAATACCCACCCTTTTATGTCACTTTTCAGTGTCCAATTATTCTTCTCAAGAATTCCTTTACAGAATATAAACATGTTTTTAGAAAAAAAATGACGTGTTGCCTTTTATCTGAAGCCTCATACTCATTAGACTTTTGCCACATAAACCAATTTCATTAAGTATCTGACATGATGCACCAAGTAGATTATTTGATTGGTTGATCTGTCTTACTTTTCAATTTTCACTATACCACATTAAAAGATGCACTTGTTGCTTCCACAAACTTACTAGATCTCTACATTTCATTGTTGTTTCTTTCATAGCAGAATATAAAAGCAAAAGAGAAAATGGATGACAATTCTTCCTAATCTTATTTACCATATATAGTTGTATTTTCAGCATTCATCAAACTTTTCGGATTACTTACACTGTTCTTAAAGATTATAACTGTCTCTTTCTTCTGTAGTCGAGACTTTATAAGAGTAAAATTAATTCATCAATCATTATATTTTTCCTGGAATAGAAAAAGTGGTTTAAGTCTAACAAAAACTAGATATGTAAAATAGCTAGGCAGAAAATTCCTCTAGACCCTTATTTTAAAAATTGTAAATGTTTTTAGTTTTTTTTTATTTCAATAAATTTATTTGGTACTGACTATATGTATAAGCATTTATTTTTACAATATAGTTACATAATTTATAAAAGAATTTTATACTATGTTATTAGCCCTGGTTATGAAGATATTTTCATTTTAAACTTAGAAATATCTCACAAGAAACTTTATCATAAACTTTCAATTTTTTTTATATAACTGAATCTTTTGTGCAATACTGAAATTGTTGTTCCTCTGTGAATTGTCATATTTCTAGAAGATTATCACTTTGTCAATAATTTGTCACTTCTATTCAAAGTTATTGTCACTGCTGAAGAACTTCTGTTTGATTGATCAACCTTTTATATTTTTATTGCACACACACACACACACACACACACTGTCTATCTGTCTGTGTGTCTGTCTGTGTGTCTGTCTGTCTGTCTGTCTCTCTCTCTAGTTAATTTCCAAATATTATGGTTTATGATTTAATTTTTCACACTTATTAAACAATTATTTACATTAAAAGTCATTTAAAAAATTTAATGTACATAAGTAAATAATAATAATTTTTTTTTGAAACTGCATATGTTATATAAGGATGTTTTTCCTTGTACATAGATCACAAAGCAACACACATTTGTAGTGTATACAATCAGTGCTTACGATCAAGTCATGTTAGAAAAAAATGGATGTGCAAGTGACAAATTATGTCCAAACTTGTTGAAAAAGACAACTTTGTATTCAAAATTGTAGCGAAGGTAGCAGGAAAACATTCCACTTTCCCAAGAACTGTTATATTAATTCATAGCTATTAAAGAAAAGAAAATATTGAAGAGTCATAACTGACCACATCCTGAAGGTAGTTAAAAATATGAAAAAGTTTCATAAACAGAATTATGCTGTTCTGTTTCCACACTTGGAATATGTAAACAAAAACTCAAAGTAGACAGCAATGAGATTTATTATCCCAATATATAGGGAAAAAAGAAACACTGTTAATGCATATTTTTGTTGCATTCACCTTAATATCATTAGAAATGTTTTGTAGTCAGCATATTTCATCAACTGACTGATAAGCTAAACTTTTATAGAGCCAATGGAAAACATTCAATATCTGGATAACGCTATCCAACATCGTCTAAAAAGTATCCATGATTAATTTTGACAAATAAATGTTTTTTATCAGATTAGAAAAGATAAATGATGCTAGTAACAATTTCCTGGTGGATGAAATGTTAGGTTCAAGGATTATCAGTTTCCTTTTGGCAATATTCATAATACAAGAAATATTCCATTAAGCTATCAGACAAAAAATCAGAGCTGCAAGAATAAGTAGCAATCAAGTGAACATTTGTGAGCTTCTTGGATTTTTCTGGTGATAATTGGATAAATATCTTATCAGATGCTACCGTTTCAATGATCACATGTGTTGTACCTTCGGCAATCACAGTTGAGTTTTTGTATATTTCATTACCATAAGACACTTTGATGTGCACTTCACCACAATCACTATTGGCATGTATTGTGATATTGGCAGCCCATGGCGGATAAGCAAATGAGAAAAGAGGGTGCACTTGAGGCTCAACTCTAATATCCATTACAGTTCTATTGCTCACCAAACCTAAAATATGCTTTGACACATTGCATACTTTAATTCCAACTCTTTCAAAAGCATTGCGAAAAATACTAATGTCTTTTCCCAGATCGTAAGCAGCCTTCATCACATCACAAGCTCCCGAAGTGAAAGTGGTTCTCTGATGCCAATACATTTGATTCGCCACTAGAAATACTCTGTAAACTTCTTTGATTGGAAGTTGTCCCTCTTGGACGATAATATAGAATACATGGTTGTAAATACCACTTCCAAAATGGGGATCAGTATCATAAGTAAAATTTTCATAATGAATTAAGGAATAACTATCATTTCTTGGATCTTCAAAATATCGCATAGCTTCACTTTGCTTCATGATATCTGCACCTATTTTCCAATCATTCTCGAAATCAAATGCCTCAGCAGCTTCACCTGTCATATCTGAAAATGCTTCATTTATAGACCCTGATTCATCAAAATACAAAAGGCCTGAAAAACGCTCTGTAACACCATGGCCTAATTCATGAGCAGCAACATCCAAACTTGTAAGAGGATAAAATATATATCCACCATCACCAAAAGTACATGAATTTCCATCCCAAAAAGCATTTTCATAACTAACTCCAAAATGTACCCTAAAGAGAATTTGCTTACCAAGTGGAGACATGCCATACCATTCATGAAACATCCTATGAACAATGTTGGCATTGTAATATGCATCGAGAGCTGGTGAGAATGCACCATTTATTTCATCATAGTAATCATCTTCACAAGAAAAATTCACAGGGTCTGTATCATTTATCTTTCTGTTATATTGCATATCAATCACTTTGACATAATCATTTTCCAGGAAACATGTGTCACCAATTTGTGTCAAATAGCTTTTCCGGTGTTCTTTATCATAAAAGATAAGACCCATCTTTTCATTTCCACCAACACCCACTACTAACCTGGCTACTGTGTCCAAATTGTTCCAATTTAGAAGTACTTCACCAGTGTTGGCATCGATCAGAAATGAGGGTCTCTCCACTTTTTCTTCATTTACCAGAAGGTACTCAACCTTATAAACCAGCCAAGCTTTATGCGAGTCATCAATATAAACTACCAATTGGCACTTGGTTGATAAAATTTCATCTTCGAATTTTTTGTCACCCATTAGTTGCAGAGCAATGTCAAGCACTACTGATTCTGATAAATGAGGTGTGACACTAGAAATATCTTGTTCAATTCCTTGAACAAATTCTCCTGTCGCATCACCAGTCAAGTGACCTGTCTCATCTGTGCTAACTGTCAAAGATACATCAAATACAGGAATGCCTAAATATTTCTCATGTAAACGCCAGACTTTAGATCCTTGAACTGTCTTAATGTGTTCTGATATTTCCATGTGTTCATTTTCTTTTAGACCAAGAAGTTCTCGGATGGCTATGTGATTCTCATCCAACTGGCGACGTTCCAAAGGTACTTCTGAGTTGAAAACATAGCGTTTTGCTCGTTCGTGTGCATCGACTCGGTAAGCACACTGGATCTGACTGACCAGCAGCAAGCCTGAAGTTGAAAAAATGAAATTTTACATTTTAAAAGTGATTCTTAAAAAATAATTCCAACATTTCTAGTTACAACATAATTTCATATTTTTATTGAGAACACACGTTTATTACAATATTAATTTTTACTTAAACAGCTAAATGTTGAATTGGACATGGCCTCACTGGCTTTAATTGTTCAAATTTTATGGCTGATGCCACATATTTCAAATAACATTTTTGTAGATTTATTTAACTTTTGTCTGAGGGTAGAGACAAAAGATTAATTCCAAGGACATTAGTGCAAATAACCTTTATTCTCCTTTATGTCATTTCAAAGTAGATTTAAAGTTTAAAGATTGCACATACACTTGTTATGCAAGTTTACTCAGTAGATGTTAGATCAGTAAATTTCATTTAAGTAACTAAATATGTCAACTAAATATTTTGTTTATTGAGAGTACTGAAAAGTTCTCTAAATTTGGCCAAATGAACAAAAATCAGATTTTTAAAAGTAACTTCAAAAGAACAATAAGGGATTAAAATAGATATCTCCACAGAAACATGATACCTAAGGTTTAAAATGAATTTTTAAAATGAAGAATCTTTAGCTTATGGAAAATATTAACTTTAATCTATTAGTTTGAAATTAAAACTAAAATATAGTTTTAATTTCAAACTAATAGATTAAATTTAATATTTTCCATAAGCTAAATACTTTACTGTATTTCAAAACTAATTTAAATTGACAGAAAGGAGGTTTTGTTCAAAAATCACTGATTTTAGTGCCATGTTTAGCCATCTGTCATCACAATGTAATTCTCTTTATAAAAAAATCTTTCAAAAATAAAATATACTTTTCTGAAACTTTATTTGAGGAATATTTAAAGTTGAATTAATCTGATTTGAAACAAATATTACTTTTAGTTTAAAATATTGCAAAAATGCATTTTTAACATGGAGTTAGGTGTTTGGTTTGGTTTGGTTTGTTGTGTTTTACGGCATATCAACCTCAGTAGGTTATTTAATGCTGACAAAGTTTTTATTGCTGGTAATATTTTGTTTTATCAAAAATCTATTTCTGGTAATAATTTTTTCCTTCAAAAATGTATTGCTGGTAATATTTCTTTTCTTTCCACAGGGCAGTGTTTCACAGGAAGAGGCTGATTGAGTCGAACTTACTTCTCACAAATGTAATATGTACACATGTAATATGTAAACATGTAATATGTAATGTGGGTGGTTTGTTACAATGTCAGTAGCATGATGTGTCCTAGCAGTGAAGGTTAGAACAGGCAGAACCAAGGAATGCAGTTCGTCTGAGCACTTTCCATGAAAATAGCGATATAGTACTGATGTTGGCTTGCCATATCCCGTCTGTGAGAGTGGGGTTGCAGGGTGGAAATAATTTGTTATCCATAAGGTTGCGGAGACACTTTTGGACTCTATTGACTACTGGGAAGTGAGGACTAGGCAGCTCCTACCCAAATATGACAACAGGACTCCATTTTTGGCCTGATCTGGCTCTTGTAAAGGTAAAGAATAGCATGGAGAGCCAAGTATTTACTGGAGAACTACAGGGAATTGACCATTTTTCCTGTATCTTTAGCAATAGATCGTATGCATGAGTTCCACAAGGTCTGTGGCGAATTTAAGGCCCAATAGCCTCTCAAGGCCTTCACAAAGGAACATCCATTCATCATGACTGGTGGTAGTTCAGGGTTCAATTGGCGATGATGGAATGTAACTAGTTTGGATTTGACATTGAATGTAATTAGTCAGTTTTTCTCCCACTGAGATGTTAGAGCTAGCTCGAAGTAGAGATCAGTTGCCAATGAGTTTTGGAGATGCACCCATATATCATCATATCATATCATCAACATATGCTATTAAGAACTGACTTCAGGGATCTACACGTTAGGAAGAACTTTATAATCTAGAAGACTCTTCTAGTAATTGCATAGTTTGAGAGATTGAGCAGCAAAACTTTGTGCCACACTCTATCAAAAGACATTTGAAATATCTAATGATATAGTCCTTGGGTGTATTTGTTGTCTAGAGCCTTACTGATTCTGTGAGTAATGGTAGTTAGGACATCAGCAGTGGATCAGGTCGATCAAAACCCATACTGCTTGTTTCTCAAGAAGCTGTATGTGCTCAACAACCTTATTGCTGATTATAGCCCCCAAATCTTGCTAATGATACTGAGGAGACTGATTGATTTATACTAGCGTAGGAGTGAGCAATCGCCCATGTTGTTGAAAGCCGGACATACGCTTGATACTTTCCACAGGCTTGAGAAGATTTCTCCTTCAAACAGCAGTTAAATAACTTTGATAGAATCGAAGATAGTTCTGGGTTGATATTCTTATGGACAACCACTGGAATTTTGTATGGGCCAATGGCTATGTTAATGTCAAGGTTTTTGATAAGTCTTAAAAATTGCCGAACTGTAATGAAAATATTACTGAGATTGTGCTCGAGGAATATAATTTTTAATTTAACTTTTTAATATAGGAAAATATTTTATGTAATGTTTTACTGAATTTTAGATAATTCGGCTTCAATTTTACTATAGTTATTGCTCTTATTTTCTGATAATGTCGTATATGGTCGTTCGTATTTACAAGCTTTTCTAATTAAATATTGTCTTAGTTTTATTGCTTTTTTTGTTTTACGATTCAAATCAGATTTTCGGCAATAGCGAATCTTGATTTACAAAACAAAATTGATTTATATTCTCCCAGGAGAATATACACCTTAAGCTGTACAAAAATTAATTTCTCGAAATTTCATAAAATTAAATAAGTTTGGCGTTACAGATGTAAAACAAAATGTTTTTACAAAGATTTTCTAAAAAAAAAAAAAAAAAAGTGTTTACTTCATTCATTTGTAAAAAAAAAAAAGTCCTGAAAATTTCATTAAAATCTGACAATTATTTGATTTTTGAAAGAATTTCTAAATCAATGTATTTTTCACTGCAAAAAGCCACTAAAATTTCCTATACTAATCTTTGGCACCCCCACCTCGGCTGACACAAGAAAAACAACGATTTTAACTAAAGTTTAAAAACGTTCTAAAAAGGATAAAAAACTTAATTTAATAATTATTTAAAATCCTTTGGTTTTTCCTCTAAATAATATGATGATTTTGATAAAAATTTGTTTTCTTTAAATTTAGGGCATTTTTCATCATGACATGCTCATTTTTAGTGAATCAGATTTTTAGAGATACAGAAATTAAAACAAATTGGAATCGTTATTGTAATTTCAGGCACGATTCAGCCGTATTTTCATTGGTATAACTTTATCCCCAATAGGAGAGAGTTTTGGAGTATCGTCAATTAAATATGAATACAAATTGTCATGTTTCATTATAATAATTTTATAATGCTTTGAAGACAGCAACAGAGTGAGGGACAACAGACATTTATTTTTTTGTCATCATTACAGGAAGGAGGGGGGGGGTCTTTCCTAAGTAGGAGAGCTCCTTAGAGTGGAAGTGAGGATAACTAAGGAACTGCTTATACACGTAGCATCTCCCCACTTTTATCTTTTTAGATTGTTTACCTTTATTTTGTTCTTTTTTTTTGTGTGTGTGTGTCCCAGCTATGGGTAAAATAGTAGGAGAGACTGGGTTCTATAGCCATGTGGGCCATGGGATCGCCATCGATGTGTATATGAAGGAGGGACGGTTGGGCGGTAGGAGACGGTAGGGATAAAGAAAAATATTGTTCTTTATCAGGTTATGTATGGAGCCTTTAAGCATGAAGCGAGCTGGTTTTTGAATAATTCGTCCTGACCATGTCTGTTATGGTCTATTGTTTGTCTGTTGCTCTTCTTCTAGCGTTGCTTCATTCTCGTGTATGCTAGCTCTATCCTCTGGTATCAGGTTCTCCTCATACTTTTGATCCAGCTCTTTCACTTGTGTAGCGCGTTGCTTTTTGTGGGAATGAGTGGGGGAAACGAGGGGTTTGACGCAGAAAACGTCTGTTGCGTCCGTAAAAATCTTTCCATTTTTTGCCATAATTTCATATAACCTGCCAGTCAGTCGTATTGAGACTGTAAATTTTCTCGCATGAGGTTTTGAAGGTTGAACACGGGCATTGCCCCTATTTTGAGGCTTTTTAGCTTTTGCCTGTAACATATTGCCTCAGCGTTTTTCCTTTTTTATGCTTCCCCTGGAGAGTATATAATGCGGTCTGAGTTTTGTCTGTTGCTGGGAACAATGAAGATGTGGGTTGTGCTGCTGTTGGGGCCTTCAGCTGATGAATAGTTCAGTGGTTCCATATCCCCAACAGTTTTATCATATCCAGAGGCCTTGCTCTTCCATAGGAGATGCTTGGTAATCTTGGCTGCTGCTCCTTCTGTGCCTGATTGTTTCCTGGTGGACGAATAGCAAAACTTTTAAAGGCATGAAATGGAAACTGAGGTCCATTGTCTGATGTTAAAGTATCTGGTATTCTGCTAAACCTATACAAGCAAATTCGCCGGAAAGACAATGGAAGATCCGACATTGAGAACTCTAGTCGAAATTATTGCCTGAGGATGCTCTGGCGACATGAGAGTGTTACCAGACTTCTTGAAACCATTCTTTACAGAAACGAACTCGAAACATAGGATGCCTCGATAGTACGAGGACTAATCATGCCTATTGCCATGCGCCATGCGTCCGGAAATGAAGCAGAGGGCACCGGCATCTAAGCATCAACGTCTGTGTTAGACGGGCGAGGGATCTAGCATGTTCAAGGAAATTCGGCAGTATATGGAAGCCTGTGCCATCTGTGCAACGTATGCGGATTGCCAGACAGCAGAACCTCAGGTAATCACAATAGCTGATCTTTTCTCATGGAGTGGAAAGAGTTTCTGGTCACATGTTTTGCCAAAATTGACCTCAAATCTGCCTATAACCAGATACAAACGATTAACTCTCCGATAGGATTACTCAGATGGAATTGTATGGCCTATGGCTTAAAAACAGCAAGTCATATTTTTCAGTAAGCAATTGAAAATGTACCAACTG